AACCAGTGTTAAAAAAACAAACAATGTAACGTCTATTTCCCCTTTAACAGGATTTCTTGATGCGACACAAGGGCTACCTTGATGCCTGGATCGGCCTCAGGAGGGAACTGGGCCAGCCCTGGAAGTGGCCCAATGGCTCAGTATTCAACGACCCGTGAGTCATTTTCTTTCTATTCACTGTCTTGGGTCACAGGCAGCTGAGGTGGGGGCTCCCCTGTCTGTGGGTCGGTTCTAAACTCCCAGCCCTTGCTGTGGGACGGATGGAGACCCCTCCTACAGTCCTTGGGAATTCCCCCGGAAATCACTCCAGCACCTTCATTGGCAAATGCACAGTCCAAGTGCCCCTCAGCATCACTCAGAGCATTTCCTTCCCTTTGGGCTCTGGCTGATTCTCAAAGGCCGTGCAGGCTCACAGAGACCAGAGCTGCTCCCTTAGCAGGAAGGATGGCCCAATGGTTACAGCACTGACCTGACACTAGGAGACCTGGGCTTAATTATTTGCTCTGCCACAGACTCCCTGTATGACCTTGATCAAGTCTCTTAGTCTCCCTGTGAACCATCTGCAAAATTGGGATAAAAGCAGGGGAGTTGTAAGGATCAATACGTTAGAGTGTGAGGTGCTCTGATTCTATGCGAGGGGGAGGGGTAGATATGGACCCGAGACTGATAAATAGAAACTGTTCCCAGACTCTCCTCTTGCTGTATCCCGGCAGTCCCCTCTCCAATGGGAGAAGGGCTGGAAGTAAGGCAGGGTTTCCTGCCAGCGAATCAGGGCTCTGGGAGCAGGGGACTGGCCTATTCACACTGCCAAGATGTGGAGTGGAAGTTCCACACAACTAAAAGTCTGAATACAGACAGATCTACTGGAAATAATCACTGGTTCTTAGTTTGCTTGTGTAATAATTCAATATTTTCACTAGGACTTGGACTCAAATTCTGTGCTGACTCCATAGGGTAGAACTAACCAGGGAGATATTAATGCCAGAGGAGAAATTCCATCGTCAGGGAGGTGGCAGAAAAGACTTAAGTGGTTGATAGGTCTTTTATTTACTGCTAAGTTAAATTTTTCAGGTGAAACTTTTTTTCCTAATTGCAGATTCAGTTACGCTGAAATGGTTTGTGAATTCATGTCGGTTTCATCAAATTGTTTTGGTTTAAAAAAAAAAAAAAGAGAGAGAGAGAGAGAGAGAATAACCTAAAAAAATACAAAATTATTTTTGTTTGTTTGACTTACCTTTTTTTTTTGGATTTGGAATTTCCTTCAATTTTATTTAAAAAACAATCCAAAACATTTTAAAATGGTCACAATCAAAATGAAGTGTTTCAGTTTTGTCAAACA